AAGAAGTAAACTGCTCTACAAGCTGCTACAATGGGAAGAGCTCATTTCATAGACAACAGATGGCGCCACAAATGGATGTCCGACCCGTACAACGGGACTGTCCATTCTATACCCACTATAAACCTTATTCTATGGACCTAAAAAAACACATACTTACAATAATTTAGAAATATTTTGAAAGGAAATTTGTAAAAAGCTAGAATTAATTATTTTAAAATCCCCAACATCAAAGGTAAACACAAGGGACGATGACTGATGACAAAAGAAATTAAGGGTTATGGGCATTTGTGTGCCAACAGTCGGCCATAATTGACACATCATTGGATTGCCTACTTGTCAAAAAAGAGCGAAATTCGCGCAAGTGAGAGCTTCATTCTCTTGTGCGAAATTCGCCCTTTTTGCGCGAAATTCGCTCATTTATTGACATTGCTTCGACAAGCTGATGTTATGCGTGTATGAAACGTCAAATTTTCGAAGCAAATAATAGACACTTTAAATTAGACAAAATACGTTAACGCTAACGTAAGATTTGACAGCTGCGCCTGCGCAGTTTCTTTCCACCAAAAATAGCGTGTACGTGTCACGTTATTTAGCGGGTCTTTGCGTGTACCTTATCCGTAAACGTTCATTAAACCGAGAAGGCCCGAAAGCTAGATTGCCGGTGTCGACCTTTGCCGAATGTATTTTAACCAATTTTTAACCTTAAAAAAAAGTGGTCCTGTATTCAAAATAATTAATAGGGCAATCCAACGACCTGTCAAAAAGGAATTCAAAATGGAGGCCAATGCCTTTTTATTTAAAAAAAATGCCATTTTATTGCGATTTTTGATTTGTATAAAGTCTGTAAAGTGTTAATTTTTTGGAAAATGCATACGTTATGTATTGTACTTAGTGGGAGCCGTTCTAATCGCGAGAAAATCTCGTTTCATGCCGTTCCTGGACAGACAAAACACAGGTTTTCAATGGAGAAAAACTATTCGTCTGTACTTTGTAAGGGCTTCATGGGACATAGATTGTAGCAAAAGAGAAAAAATTTGACGACAAATAAAAGAAACATCAGGATTTGGTTGAGAAAAAACTAGGAAACCATAGAAAAGTGATTTATATTGTTGATATAGAACGCTCACTTCTGTTGTAGTCGCCAAGTGACATTTCCGACGGTGCTGCCATAGCGGTGTAGTCATTGAACTAATATTTGGCGGGCCGTTTGAATCTCGGTTTTAAATGACTGGGTTTGACATTCCAATTATTTCAAAATAAGACAATGCTTCAAAACTTCATAAACTAAAATTTTATACATTTTATTTTCATATATTTATGTGAGAATCACTCAAAGAATAAAATAGTTTATGATCTATTCATAGATGATCTGGCGTATCTGACTCATGAGCTGACTGGAGCACTTTCCAATCTGCTTTTTGAAAATGTTCATTTTTTTCCAGTTAAAAGGCTGTCATAGTTGATCAAGTTATTTATAATTCCCTCGAACATGTATGGAGCATCATACAGTGATACGATTTCTAGGTTGTTTATTTCCGACAAAACTAAAATTTCTGCTTCTGTGTTGTTTTTGATGTAGATTTCCCTGGTCTGTGGTTGCAATTCGCTTTTGTCCGATTCATTTTTTGCCGCCTGATCACACGTGGCAACAACTCTTAAACCGGCTGCTTATGATGATGCACTTATCATTTCTTTCACAGTCTTGAAATTCAAAACAATCATCGACAATGCACTCCACTCAACAAGTTAATTCAGATGACAAGATGACATTTGCATTATGATGTTAAATGGATACCTGCGTTTTTATTACTGGTTTTTATATACACGACGATTCTATGACGGTCATTGTCATTTTCTATTCACTAAACAAAGATAGCTAACTCATCGGTGAAGTCAGAGATTAGAATAAGAACGAGGGGGACGTTAAGAAACGGCGATATGGGCGCACAGCGGTGTAGTCACGAACTAAAACAAAAAGTGGCGGGGATGAATCCAGTGAATGTTCTATTTAAGAATTTATAAATCACTTTTCTATGTAGGAAACAAATCCTGGATAGTACCAGTACCTAACCTAATTGTTTAGTAGGTAAAGGTTTGTCACAAAGAAACCATAACTTTTGCAAACATCCGGGTTTTCCACTAATAATTTCTTAAGCTAAGAACTTTCCATCTTAAAATACGAAAATTATCCTTCTAAGCACTTGAAAATCATCTTAAAACACCACAAAATACACGGAAAACAGTTTTTTGATGAAAAATGTCATGCTTGTTTGAATTAAATTTATGTCGCCAATTTCTTTGCCTGTGAAAATTTAACTAACTGATTTGTGTGCACCGACGGTCACTCGACGTTATAGCAAAAAATAGGCTCCCGGATTCTATTCTACGAGTCGAGTCGAAATTCATATCGAATTGTCAAAATAGCGATTCTGTTTTTCGATTTCTCAATACCTTTTACACGGTACGTCTGGAGCTGTCGTATTCGATATCGAGACAATTCGACTCGACTCGTAAAATAGAATTTGGGGGAGGGTTTACGTTTAAAGATTACGTTAACGTGTTTGGTCCAACTTAAAGTGTCTAATAGTTAGACAAAACACGTTTAGTCTACGTGTAGACGCATATCCGAGCGCACATCCCTGCTTTCGTTCCCAGCCAGAGCCCGGCTTAATATAAGGTCTGTTTCTGCAGAAATCACAAACCAGTCAGAGTGAATTTCATTGGTTGAAACTAATTTTCTGACTGTTTTCAACCAATGAAATTCGCTCTGACTGGTTTGTGATTTCTGCATACAGTGGCTAAATAAACCTTTACATACAGTGGCGACAATAGAGGTCCGGCCGCCATCTTGTTCCCAACCTCTTGTTACTTTTAAATATTAATATATAGGAGTTAAATGGACATCTATCATAAAAAATCGGAACCGACGTATTTGATGACCATTATTAGGTCCATCAAATACGTTGTTTTCCATGATTTTGATGGATGTTCACCTTAATCCCATATATTCATATTTAAAAGTAACAAGGGGTTGGGAACAAGATGGCGGCGTTTTCAATATAAATATATGGGATTTTTGAACCAATCAAAAATAAGACAGCAATTGTCGCCACTGTGGGTTATAGAGTCACTGTATTTCTGCAGACAGACCCTATGTTTTACCCGGTTCTGACGATCAGCAAACGCAAAGCCGACTTATGTGTGGACGCGGCTTTAGCAGTTGATATCGGAACGCCTTCGTTGGTGTTGTGCTTGCCGCTTTCCAGCCGCTTTCCAGTATGGGTATAGTCACAGCTACAGTGACTCTATAACCCACAGTGGCGACAATTGCTGTCTCATTTTTGATTGGTTTTAAAATCCCATATATTTATATTGAAAACACCGCCATCTTGTTCCCAACCCCTTGTTACTTTTAAATATGAATATATGGGACTTAGGTGAAATCCATCATAAATCATGGAAAACAATACGTATTTGATGGACCTAATAATGGTCATCAAATACGTCGATTTCAATTTTTTATGATAGATGTCCATTTAATAATTTAAATCCTATATATTAATATTTAAAAGTAACAGGAGGTTGGGAACAAGATGGCGACGGGACCTCTATTGTCGCCACTGTATGTAAAGGTTTATTAAGCCACTGTAGTAGTTGTATTCCTTTCACACCTAGGAGAAGCTCCGGAACAGCTCCGGGGCTTCACGCGCTTATTCCTTTCGAAAAGTGTTTGCTGCACCACGCATCTGTTCTCTGCAAATCGGGGGCAACTAAACACCGGAGCGAGTAGTTCGAGTGTTTCAAGCTCTTGAAAGGAATACAACTAGTGTGACGCCCGGAGCTACTCGGGGCGTTGAGCTCCCGAGCTGTACGTACGCGTCAACCTGTCAGCTGTCACATCCGTGGGTGGCTATTTATTTATTTATTTCTTGTTATATCTCAAGATTGAACATTTTAAAAAATATAGTTTTGATTCTCTTTCATTTTTGATAAATAAAAAAACAAACTGCACAAACCAATGAACTATAACCAAAAACTGGAATGCTAACACATAAGGACGAGCGTGAAGCCTAGTGCAGCTGCTGCGGAGGGGATACCTGTTTTTGTCGCACTCATTATGTTAAATGGCGAAAATTGCTTCCAACACGTATTCCAATTGATGAAACCTGTGAAGGGAAATATGACAAAACTTTCGAAAACGTCATATGTCAGCGAGCAACAGAAAAAAACAACATTCCCCCTTGTGGCATCTGTCTTTCATGGCTTCATTTTTTTGGCAGATATGGCAATGTGTGCGCATTCCAGTTTTTAGCTATATTTCATTGGCACAAACAAACAGATAATTACAATGAACTATAACCAAAAACTGGAATGCGAACACATAAGGACGCACGTGAAGCCTAGTGCGGCTGCTGCGGAGGGGATACCTGTTTTTGTCGCACTCATTATGTTAAATGGCGAAAATTGCTTCCAACACGTATTCCAATTGATGAAACCTGTGAAGGGAAATATGACAAAACTTTCGAAAACGTCATATGTCAGCGAGCAACAGAAAAAAACAACATTCCCCGTTGTGGCATTTGTCTTTCATGGCTTCATTTTTTTGGCAGATATGGCACTGTGTGCGCATTCCAGTTTTTAGCTCTAGTTCATTGGATAATTATTTTTAAAATTTGACATAATTGACACTAAGACAGGCGTCTCACGCCATGATACTGGAACGGTACAAATTTAGTGCGTGGCGCCCATGAGGTGCTCTAGAGCGCGCCAATGTGCATACTGGAAAGCGGCTCAGTACGGGAGTGTGACGCTCGGAGCTACTCGGAGCGTTGAGCTCTCAAGCTATGCGTATGGACAAACATCACACGATTCACACGTCATAATACTGGAACGGTACAAGTACAAATTTTCTTGCGTGGCGCTCTCGGGGTGCTCTAGAGCGCGCCATGTGCATACTGGAAAGCAGCTCTTGTAGCTAACTTCACACTTCACTTAGATCGCCTCAACTGTCACCTGTCAATATTTTATTGTTATACAAAAATTAAAAGTAAACACCTTTTTTTTAAATGTTTTAATAAACAGATAAATTAACAAAAGTTAACATAGGGTGTAAAAAAATTCAGTAAAATGCCCAGTTCCCTGCTTTTCGGCATCAACAATGAAGGTAGGGTACACACTTTATCAACCATGGGTTCTATGTGGAGAGAAATGCCCTACAATGGTCAAGAATTCAAGAAATTATCCGGTGTGCCCCATTTTCTTTGGGGCCTAGGGGGCGACCACCAAATTTACGTTTACGTGCATGGTTTAGATATACCCATAAGGATCAGGGAGGAATCTTATGAGAATGAGGTGAGAATTTTCTATTTACATAAATCGATGTAATTTTCCATTTTTATCGTGAAAGTGTCATTTTAATTGTCTATTTATTCCTCGGCAAACACGATAATGCACAAACTTGTATAAATTGTGTTAAACTGAGTACTTATTTGTTAAAGAACAATGCCCATGTTGTCATTATCTTATTGTATATAAATAATCTTTAATCAGGAGTCAGGAGAGGAGCTGCTATAATGCAATTGCAAGGAAAATTTATGAAAAAAAGGCAAAAAAGCTTTTCATTTGATTCTCCAAATTAGAATTTGTGGACAGGGAGTTCAAAAAGAGTTTATTTACAAGAGAAATTTGAGTGGTGAACATTTCTAGCTTAGTGGTAGATAGATTCAATAGGCACGCTACAGTGAGGGGTGTAATTCCAGTTCGTGCCTATTGAATCTATCTACCACTAAGCTAGAAATGTTCACCACTTCAAATTTCTCTTGTAAATAAACTCTTTTTGAACTCCCTGTCCACAAATTCTAATTTGGAGAATCAAATGAAAAGCTTTTTTGCCTTTTTTTCATAAATTCCTTGCAATTGGCGTTTCCGATTGGTAGATTCAGGGCCGAGATTCTAAAATCACGATTCGACACACGACTCGACAACGATACCGGCCTTGTCGTGTCGAAAGGTATAATTCCAATGAGATTTCTAACCTAGAATCGTCGGAAAAATCGTCTCGTTGTCGAATCGTGATTTTAGAATCCCTGACCAGTGCGCACCGAGTGTATTTGCATCCTTTTAATCGACCTGTAAAAGAAATAGAAATAGAAATAGAAATAGAAAAAACTGCACTAGTTCCGCACTAAATCTACCAATCGGAAACGCCATAAAAGTATAAAGTCAGTACGGGTGTTTCAAATTCGAACCACATCATTGGAAAATTGGAAACGGTGAGACATACAGGGTTGGTTAAATTGGGGCAAAGTTGCGTAATTTGATGCTTAACAGAATGCCGCTTTGATATTTAGGATCGAGTTTAGGATATTCCGAATACTTCCGGAGATATCCGGCAAAAACCAAAATTTTGCAAAATTGTTTTTATTTTTTCTTGACTTTATTTGAAGAGATATTCAAAATAAAATGTCACTTCATCATAGCCACTTTTTTCCCCTACAGGATGCCAGCATCAAATTTAAAATCTGAGGTTTCGTCTTTTATTAACGTATCGACATTTACAAGTTAACTTAAACTAACTAACCTAAAACGGCCCTTTTTGCACTACTCTTTAAATTTTTTATGGGAAACATTAAAGAATTCTAGTGACTAACAAAACTTATTCACATTCGCTGATACTCTGTTAACAGGACTATACAATAAGTACCAAGAATTGCAAATTGGTATATGCATCAAGGTCTGCCCACATAAATTTAAGTTGTACATTTTCAAGTCTGTTTATATGAACCTGATAATAGTGCGACCAAATTATGTTTGAAAATTTCAAGATGGATCGAACCAGCGAAGTATACAACACCTTTAGAGCAAACACACCCCTAAAGTCCTTAATGGTTTTTTTGATAAAACCCAATATTCTATTAGCTCTACCTATTATATACTCAAAGTGCTTGAGGAACGTAAGTTTGGTGTCCAAGTAAACGCCAAGGTCCTTAACAACAAAACACCTCAGTAAGAGCAACATTATTTATGGAATATTCCACAGGTATAATATTCATCAGGCGGGTGAAGCGCATAAATCAGCATTTGTCGATATTAAGTGACATGTCGTTGAGCTTACACCAATCCTATACAATGTCCAGATCATTTTGCAGTAGAAGAATATCACGAGTTGATGATACTTCCCGAAATATCTTTAGATAGATCCGCAAACATTAGAAAATTGGAGGAAAGTAGACTGCCGAGGTCATTGATGAATAAACTGAACAAGAAAGTTCCCAAATGAGATCCCTGAGGAACCCCAGATGTGACATCGAACTTATCCGAGAGATAACCATCAATTCTCACCTGCTGAATCCTTCCTGACAAATAAGAGATCAAAGTACCCGCAATACCATAACTGGACAACTTTGAGAGTAGAAGAGTATGATTGACCTTGTCAAAGGCCTTACTAAAGTCAGTATATATAGTATGTATCTCACAACCATTTTCGAATGAACTATTGATAAAGTTAGTGAATAGAAACAAGTTGGTATCAACGGAGCGGCCAGAGGTGAATCCATGTTGCTGATTTACTATGATTTGATGGAAGGCAACTGACAGAACTTTTTCAATACAGTGCTCAAATAGCTTGGGTATTGCTGAGAGGATACTAATTGGTCTGTAATTAGACACATTGTTTTTGCTACCTGATTTATGGATGGGACAAACATATGACAATTTCCAGATTTTTGGGAACACTCCAGAGATAAGAGACTTGGAAAATATGTAATAGAGAGGAAGATACAGAGAATGGGAGCAAAGTTTTAATACTCTGTTCGGGATTCCATCAGGTCCCTCTCTCTTATTAATGTCGAGTTCAGAGAGCGATTTTTCAATGTCATATGCAGTGATCTGAATGTCAGAAATTTATTGAAAGGTGTGTGTGGAAAAAACGGAAGAAGCACTTGCATCAGAAATGGTTATTTTTTTATTTTTATTTATTTCGTTTATTTAGCAATAGCTAATCGTGCAACTTACATATATAAATTCACAAAAGTTATAATTAGTGTATAGTGTCAATTAAAGTAAACAATTTAAATTTAAATTCAAAATACAAATGACAATCATTCCGAAAGACACAATAAATCTTGAAATTTTGTAAAAAGCAAGTCCTGAAACTCATACAAAATATGGCATTCGTTTTTCACTTCACAAAATACAAGATCAAGATACTGCAAAACAAAAGAAATTCAAATCAACAAAACTCAGATCAACAAGAATAAGCTACTCATTTGTGCTTTAATCTGGAACATATATATCACATTGAGTCAGCAGATGAACTTTTAATTTTCTTTTGAAATTGCTAATAGTAACACATGACTTTATTTCATCCGGTAGCTGATTAAACTCATTCATACCCTTAAAGAATACCGATCTTGTTGCTGATGCCCCACATCTATGTGGTATATAGAAGTTGTTCTGTTGTCTAGTGTTGTGATCATGCATCTGGCCACTGTAAACTATTTTTCTTGTAAGATACAATGGAGCAAGTCCAATTTTAATTTTAAAGATAAACATCAGTACATTATATTTTGCATATTCCACAACTGGAAGCCACTGAAGCAATCTAAGCATACTTTTTATAGGAGTATATTTGTTACATGAGAGTATGATTCTCATACATCTATTTTGCAACTTTTGCAGTCTTTGGATATCATTCTGGTTAAGTAAATAAAGTATTGTTGCGCAATAATTGAAGTGTGGCAAAACTATAGTGTTAAAAACAACAATTCTAGACCAAGCTGAGAGAGATGCTGAACAGCGCCTAAGATAATTTGTCTTAAAACTAATTTTAGAAACCAGAATGTTGCAGTGATCTTTAAATTTTAATTTGTTATCAAGAATTACCCCAAGATACTTAATCTTTTGAACTTCTTCCAACTTATTGTTACCCATTTCAATTGAATAGTTGTTCATATTAAAAAGACTTCTGTTATTATGTGTACCAATAAACATAAATTTAGTTTTACTAACATTAATCTTCAAAAGATTTGTTGATGCATAATTGTCCATTTTATTTAGGGCATTATTAACAGTTTCCACCAACAAATCCAAATCTTTTGAAAAGGCGTAGAATAGACTATCATCGGCGAAGTTATGCAATTCAATGTCATGTATTACATCTGGCAGATCGTTTATATAAATAATGAACAATAGTGGACCCAAAACACTTCCCTGCGGTAAACCATGCTCGTTAACTATCTCTATTGAACTAATTCCATTCAGTCTAGTTAATTGTCTTCTTGATGCTAGATAGTCTCCAAACCATCTCAACACCACATCCCCAATTCCAATTTTTTCTAGTTTCTTAAGTAATCTGTGCCGATCGACCGTCTCAAAGGCTCTCTGTAAGTCCAGAAAAACCGCTAGTACATTGAAACCCTGGTCATATTTTATTTTAAATTCATCCAGAATGTACTGTATTGCAGTTTCACAGCTGTGACCATTTCTGAAGCCTGACTGCTTCTCTGTTATAATATTATGTGTGTTTAAAAATTCGAGAAGCTGATCATATACAACTTTTTCAATTATTTTCTCGATGACAGGAAGTGTATTAATGGGTTGAAAATTAGATGCTTCTATTGAGTTAAGTTTTTTTTGAACTGGTATTATTGTAGCGAGCTTTAGAGGATCTGGAAACTTTCCTTGTTCCAGTGAACTATTTATTAAATTAATCAGGGGTGCTTCAAGAGACGGATATATATTCCTTATTAATGTTACATTCAAGTCATCGGGACTATTTTTGTTTTTCAATGACAACAATTTTAAACAGGGAATCAGAATCTATTAATCTGACGAGCTAAAGTCTGCATTATTTTTTGTGAAGTCACTCAAGGTATCCATATTCCCTGAATCAGGTTTAATTTGTTCAATTATGGAATCTATGCTGTCTACATAAAATCTGTTTAGTCTTTCAGGCAGACTGTTTTTATCCATTATTATTTCTCCTTCCATCTCTATTTTATCAATGTTTGCATGATTTTTCTTTGGTAAAATCTCTCCCAATACATTCCACATTGCCCTAGGATCCCGTTTACATCCATCCACTTTTTGCTCATAGTACTTTATTTTCTCTTCTTTGATAGTTTTAACTACTTGATTTCGCTTATCTCTATAAGATCTATGTGCATCTTCACTCTTGAGCAATTTGTAAATCTTATAACTTTTATCCCTTAGTTCTGCTGCTTTTTTGACATTTTCATTCCACCATGGTTTATATCGTGGTAAAATTTTAACCTGTTTTAATGGTGCTATAGTATTCAAGGCCCGATAAACTGTTGACACAAAGAACTTACACTTATCATCTATATTATTTA